CGTCCTGGTTTCAGTACTGGCTCACAAGCCAAGCCAAATCGTGCGACTCACCCTCTTCGTCGAGCTCATCCCGCTCTCAGCTACTGTCGTCCTCGATGACCTGCCTCGTGTTCGCCTTTTCACCGGGCAGCGGCACGCCACACGCCGAACGCAGATTGGTCGCGATCCACTCGCACTTGCTGATCTTGAACTCGGGCTCCCAATCCCCAAACCCGTCTCTGCTGTACTTCTCCGCTGGGTTCCGCATCCGCAGGTGGAACCCCACAGACGCCAGCACAAAGAGCACGGCGTCGAGCAGTGAGACCTTGTCCCCGAATTCCCCGTTCGAGAAGAGGACATCGTGGAGGCGTCCTGCGTCCGCCTGGCGCAGCGCCCAGGTGCTCCGTTCGACGTCCTTGGTTCCTCTGCCGCGCCTAGTAGGAACCTCGTCGGTACGGACGTTGAAGACGAGCTGCCATCCGTCTCGGCCTGCCTCGACTTTCTCGGCGCTGCGAATGTGGAAGATTTTGAGCCGTTCCTCTGCGGGCGGAGCGGGGTCGTGGATGCGGTAGAACACTTGGCACTGGTGTGGGCGGGGGTAAAGGAGGTATACGTCCACCATGCTGGGGCGCGTCGGGGAGAATATACGCGTGAATGCTTTCACGTCTAGTAGCTGCAGACACGAATTGTTGGGTTGAGCATTCAGACCACTCCGGAATGAAACACTGCGGCGATACGTACATCCACGCCCTCGTAGGAGTCATCCCACACCTCCATTCCTTGAGGAAGTACTCCATCTGCGACGATGGCTTGTTGGTGCTCACTGAGCTTCGTACGTTGCAGGGTGCTCTCTACCCCGTATTTGATCTTGCTAGTGAAGGGCTCGATGGTGAGCTCCATCACAAGACGCTCTCGCATGCGCGCGTAAGTCCACTCGGCCTCCTGGCGCTGCGCGATGTAGCGGCCCCAATACGGGTCGGATGCCGTCGAAAGCAGATGAAATAGAGCTTGTGCGTGTGGGAGGGTGTCTGAGGAGCTCCCAACGGCAGTCTCGGCGGGTTTTAGTCGCTTCCATTCGCGCATATACTCATGTCCTGAGAGGTAGCAGACTACCACGTCCTCGGGAACAAGGATCAATTCTGAAAGAATGTCAGAGGTCGTTCAGGGCAGGGAGAAATCCGTCTAGATTGTGTCAATCTCACCAATCGGTCTCTGAGATGCTTTCTTGGACTGATCCCCGACCAGAGTATCCTCGGGGATCTTTACAGCTGCCCTGGGAGTCAAACGCTTCTGGAGCATAAGCCTAATGCAGATCTATTGGCATGTAGGACTGACCCAATGCTTGGCTGGAACAAGGAGCACTTCCTCGACTTGATCAATGATCGTCGACTACCACGACACAAAGACGAGTCAATGTCACACACGCAGCGGGCGCACTTCATACATACCATCTCTTTCCCATTGGTATACGTGGTCTTCAAGTAGTCCGCTTTACCATCTGTGGCAGCCTTGATAGCGGCGACGGCATCCGCATTGTAACCGAGAACGGTGATTGCTTGCATGCAGGATGTGTCGACTGGATTCGATGAGTTGCTTGAAGAGGCCCGGGTGTACTGTGGCTTGCGTGACGCAAGATATTGCTGATACTGCTGGGGAGAGAGACGAAATGTCAGAAGTCGAGAGTATGGCGTAGACGATTTCTTGGCTGGGGACATGGTTGAGAGAAAAGAGGATTTGCCAGTGGAAGAGGATCTGAACTTTGAGCACTATTTATGCATGACCGTGACCAAGAGGCGTTGGATCGGTTGGGGTGCAGCATCTGTGCCCCAACGACGACGGCTGTCACACGCGTGCGGCTGGAGCTGAAGAGCTTCAAAACGATCCTACACGACTTTCCACGATTTGCGAGTCCAGCTTCGTCCATCAGATCGTCGCGACTTGTCACACTCGGTCACAATCACGGGACCGTGTCTCCCCAACCTGGACTCCGAAGGCATGATTACCGCAACTAAGTCAGACAATGACCGAATGCACCATGTATGAAGCTTTCCACGACTTCTCATCATCGTGCGATAGCTTCCTCTACCACAGGCTGAATGTTGGCCAAGAGGAAACATCACCTTATTCACGCGTCTGAGCTGTGACCTGAGCAGGGAGGTCCTTTGCCGTCATCTTTGTTACTACCATAGGGAGCACAGCCGGTTATATGTAGCGAAATATGTTGGCCTTCTGAACAAGGAGTGAGCGGAGAGAAGGAAGGGATCATCGGTTTAGAGAGGGGGCGTACCACGTTACGTCGATATCCTCCTTCGAGCTGACCGTCTTCAAGTTCTGCATTTGCAAGCGAACCCTGTCGCTCTTTCCAGCTGTTCATCAACGCCGCATCTCTTTCTGCCACAGTCATCTTCTTAGTGCTGCCTGGCTTTGTTGTGCTAGAGGGTTCGTGATGTTCTTCATCTGCGTCTGGCTTGCGCGTTGTCGGCGCTGGGGGCCTGGAACGCGTTGCGTCTGTATGCTGGACAAATTGGTAAGCTCTGTAAGATGTCTCATCATCTCAAGATCAGAGGAGAGTGCGGAATACCTTGTTTTCTCGCTGCACTGTGTTCGCCAGATTCCTGACTTGTACGAATACACCACTGGGAGACAATTGCGGTGACAGTGGAAAATAGAGTCTGCAGACCGGTTGGCGAGTAATCCTGGCCAAGGAATGAGCCGCAGACGACATCAGGAGTTACTGGTGATCGTAGTTTGCTGCAAGGACTTGTCTTGCAAGACTGCTAGTGAGTGTAAGAGAGCTCCACTACTTCAATCGGGCGTGCGGTGACGCAATGTCACGTGGTATAGGGCTGTTGCAGGAAGCGCCGATCCACAGAGTCGTTCATTATTATTACACGTACTACACACTGCTAGGACCCTCGTGCGCCAAACCTGCGATGTTCAACATCCATCTATCGAATACTTCTTGGCTTTGACAACATCTGGCATGTCTCAATCACCATCAGCTAGTCCTGGACAATCGCATATTGTCTCACTTGTGCTACAGTCGAAGAACGCGCTGCAAGAGGGAAAAGAACTATGCATTCGCGCGAGCTCCATATCTTCAGCTGCCGCGCAAACGTCCGTGGACGTGCTCGCGTTGGATGCGCAAGTCCGATGGATGTCAGAGGCTGTGCTTGACCAGCTCAAAGTGAGTGTCATTGCCTTTCGCTCGGGACCCCAGGCCAGACCATGCAAACCTGCAGCTCGCCGCACAAGTGGCTAAGAGTATCGAGCAGAAGCGTTCAGAGCTCGAGAGGCAAGTGGAGGTGCGTGCTGCCTCGAATGTTCTGCGCAATACCATAACGCGAATTTGCGCAGGAATGGGACCACATCCGTGACCAACGCACCCACGCGCTCGACGCCGTGCTGGATTCCCTCAGTCTTCAGTCCGTCCCACCAGACTTCCATTCCGCGTCCACAGACACCTCTCCGTTTGGGAGCCAGAACAACTCGGACGACGAGCAGGAGACGAACCACAACGCCGAAGATGACACGACACCCTTCGGGCCTCCACGACTTAGTCCTAGCCCTCGCCAGAGTCCGACCGACACGATACGCAACCGCTCTCCTATCGTCAGGAGGCTAGAGAGGAAGAACAGGCGCGCGGACAGGAGTCGGTGGAAGACGTTGCGGGACTTCGTAGACGAACGCGCGATTGAGGATCTGCTGGACACGATTGAGAAGGACCGGCTCGAGCTTGACGTGGGTTCTCGTCGTTGTTCATACTGCTGCTACGACGAATACATGATGCGCGCACTCAGGACATCCTTGCAACCACGTCTGACTACCCGGAGTCGTTGTCGAAGACCATCGGAACGATTAGGGAGAACGTCCCGGTTGACGTGTCATTGCCGTCGTTCGAACAGGTGTTCGCATCGCAAGAAAGGATATCGGTCAAGATGGCGGAAGAGCTTGAATTGTTAGCGCATCACTACGACAACATGTCTGATGCCCTACATGACTATGAGGCCGGTACGGAGTTCAACGAGGATGACATACAACGTCGGTATACGCATGCTTCCAACGTTGCGTTGACAGTCCACTCACTCTGGTGGTACAGACATGATTCAAGACGCGAATGCTCTCCCAGTGATCATAGCAGAGCTAGAAGCTGGTGTGCAATCCAGCAAAGAGCTTCAGTCAGTCATTGAGCGGACTTCACGCAATCTCGCTCGATACTCATCCGCGACTTACGCATAGCGACCAATTGTTGTCCGCGAAAGCGGCGGCGCAGGCACATGTGGAGATCCACAAGAGCACCCTCAATGATCTTGACGAGCTGGGGGACATCATGACAGAGATGCTGGAACGACAACAGGACGTCGAGGTATGAGTCACTTCTCGTGCTGTACTTACGCCGAAAGCTGAAAAAGTTTCTAGAACCAGAGCATCGAGCATCTCTCATTCCTGCACGCACAACTGCGGCCCCTTGAAGAGCTGCACCACAAGTACACCTCGTATCAATACGCATATAGTAAGCTCGTCCTTGAGCTCGCACGGCGGCGGCAGTACCGCGAAGCTGCGCAGCGCATTGTGGCGACCATGACAGGGCAACTTGATGCCATGGCCGAAGGTATGTCTTGGCTGGCACTGTTCGCCATCTCGAGCTGAAATTTTCGTCAGAGGAGCGACTGCTTCGGGCAGAGTTTCAGGGAGAACACGCACAGTATCTTCCGGAGGATTTCTCGCTTTGTGTCGAGAACGCTCCAAACCGCTGGACGATCTCGACGTGGAACAATGAGCCTCTAGAGACATTGCCCACTCTCGACGACGATTTGATTGAGCAGGTGAGCATGGAACATCGGCAGTATGCCAGTTCACGACTGACAATACCAGGCGAAGGTTAGGTCGACCGGTGTCGAGGTCGAGATGGCGACCAGTCAGAGTCTTTGATGTATACCCACGTAGATTCCATCACATTTTACTCTATCATGTTCAACGATCTACTGGACGCAGATAAAAGCAAAACCCTCCAAAACATGTGAGTCGGCCCAGGTTCGAACTGAGGACCTTCTGTGCACATTTTACGTGTTAGACAGATGCGATAACCAACTACGCCACCGACCCATGATGTATGTCCAGGTTACTCATTAATATTACCTGTTCCAATCACTGGCGGTCAGTCGCGTCGGTCGGGCTGCGCGTGCAGCTGCTTGACTTTGGACTGCTCAACGATGTCCGTGCTTGCCCCGATTATTTGCGACAATGGTACTGGCTTCTCGAAAGTTGGGTACGTGTGGTGAACTCGAGCTCTCTGCTGCTTCCTCACTCGTGCCCCAAGGTTCGCCGGCAATTCCGATCCATCATTGTGAGCATCGGAGGCCCATGTCCATCCGCTGCTGGTGTTCACCTCCATCGTAGTGTGTTCCCCACCGCCATAGCCACGCGCGGCCCAGCTTCACAACCCAGTCGTGGTCCCTCTGTGCCCTCAAAACCCGGTCACCTCGCATCGAAACGCGGCGTCGAGGACCTTGATTTCTTCATCGGCGATGAGGCCCTCGCCAATGCCCAAACCCCGGGTTATGGCGTCAACTATCCTATCCGACATGGTCAGATCGAGAACTGGGACTACATGGAGCGCTACTGGGAGCAGACGATCTTCAAGTATCTGCGCGCGGAGCCGGAGGACCACTACTTTCTCCTGGTGCGTCGTCCACAGCCGCTCGCGGACCGCGCGCAGCGTGCATCTGATCTCGCGCGATCCAAATCCTTGCCTAGACCGAGCCCCCATTGAATCCCCCAGAGAACCGCGAGCAGACCGCGGAGATCTTCTTCGAGTCGTTCAACATCAAGGGGTTGTACATTGCCGTGCAGGCCGTTCTTGCACTTGCCGCGTCTTGGTCCTCGAACCGCGTCACTGACCGCACCCTGACTGGCACGGTCATCGACTCTGGAGATGGTGTTACCCACGTCATTCCATGCGCTGAAGGGTATGTCATCGGTAGCGCCATCAAGCACATCCCCATCGCAGGTCGTGACATCACCCAATTTGTCCTGAACTTGATGCGTGAACGCGGCGAGATGGCGAACGTCCCACCAGAAGACCAGCTCAAGGTAGCTGGGAAGGTCAAGGAGCAATACAGCTATGTCTGCCAGGACATCGTGAAGGAGTTCAGGAAGTACGACCAGGAGCCATACAAGTACTTTGCGAGGTACGAGGGCGAGCACACAGTCACTGGACGGGTACGTTGTAAACCGCTCATTGGTGCATCCCACAAACTCACGTGGGGGTCTTGTGAAGAAATACGAGATCGACGTTGGCTACGAACGTTTCCTTGCGCCCGAGATTTTCTTCAACCCCGAGATCTACTCTTCTGACTTCCTCACACCACTCCCCGACATCGTCGACAACGTCATCCAACAATCTCCTATCGACGTTCGTCGAGGGTTGTACAAGGTAAGTTGTTTCCGTGTTCAAGCCTAAGATTGTATGCACATCCCCTTTCGCAGAACATCGTCTTGTCTGGTGGATCTACCATGTTCCAGCACTTCGGTAACCGCCTGAAGCGCGACTTGAAGCAAATAGTCGACCGTCGCTTGGATGCGAGCGCAGCTGCCAGCGGCAGCCAGCTTCGGGTGAGTGCTGATTATCGTGTCATAGCTACGCTGCAAAGCACTCACACATTTAATAGTCATCCGGCGTTGACGTCGAGGTCATTTCTCACAAGCGTCAACGGTATGTGTTCATCGAGATATATGGTAGTTTTGGAACCCTTCCTTATTGTTTTGCATCAGCTACGCTGTGTGGTTCGGTGGTTCGCTCTTGGCATCCCTCGTGAGTATCAACCGTGAGGACATAGAAGCGTTTAGCTAACGTAATGTGTTCTGTAGCCCGAGTTCTACTCGTCCTGCCACACGAAGGCGCAGTACGACGAAATTGGCCCCAGTATCTGTCGACGCTACCAAATCTTCGGCAGCGCGACATAGGCTTAGACGGTGCCCAATGTAGGTCACGGAAAGAATGCCAGTGTACTTTAATACTCCTGTACAGAAATCAACCTGGAATCACCGCATCTCGGGCAATGGACGCTTACGCTTGGACAATCAACGAATGTTGTTACAGAGCTTTTGTTCCATACTCTATGCAAATGTGTTCATGGCATACAAGGTGATTTACAAAAATCGGCAAAGCTCAGCTGGAGCAACTGCACTGGAATCCAAGTAGTTTCCTCTCGCCCATGCTGCAATACCGCCTCTCCTCCATGACCTCTGCATCAAGCTCGTCCTCATCTTCGTCCAGGTCTTCGGCACCCCATGGCTCGTATGGGTTGCAAGACATCTATTCGTGACTGATGAGTGCCAGAAACCCAGGCCATGACTAGAAGCAAACACCCACATGCAATACTTTACCAAGGATCCGCTTGCCACTCTCCACGTCCGTCTCGACCTTCTGGATGACCTCTTCGAGCACCCACTGCCTGAGCACGAACCGCGGGTTCGCAGCTCTCATCTCCTTCTCCCTCGCGGCATCGACGTCTCCTCCACTCCCCGTCCACAAGTCGCGTTCGCTCTCGATGCGCGTGGCGTACCGCCGCAGCCAGTCTAGCCAGTCGCTGTGTGCCTTGATGCGGTCGAGCCGTTCTGGCTCTGGCGTGAGCGTGAGCAGGCTGTCGACGAATGCCTTCAGGTCCGCGTCGCCCGCGTCCGAGTCCGAGTCCGCGGAGGCGAGGGACGGCCGGAAGGAGCAGAGCCGGCGGAAGGTCCCATGGAAGTCGAGCTTGTATTCGTCCATGAGCGCGAGGAGTGGACGGCCGAGCTTCGACTCGTCGTCCTTGTCCGTCCTGCGGAGCCCCAGTCGCTGTGTTACAGAGGTTGAGTGAATACCGACGGGTTATACGGGGGACGAACTGACCTTGTGCATGAGACGGCCGTATTCAATCGCGCAAGCCTCTTCGGCGACGCGCTCCATCTCCTCCTTGACGAGCTCTTTGCCGCATTCGGTCCATTCTTTGACCTTCTCCTTGGGCGCGTTCTCCGCCCAGTCTGGCGATACGGCTTTGCCTCCGAGCTCGTCTTCCGCACCGATGAGCGGCGCGAGGGCATCGAGTAGTGATCGTAGAGCATGAATGCTGATGGGGCACACCGTTAGCCCATGGTCATGTACGCAAGAGGAGCCGCCCACATTACAGCAGGTTGATACTTCATTGGACATTGACGTCAGCTAGCAAAGACATTCCAAGAAGACACTAGTGCGTTACCTTGTAAGCATATCGGCCTTCCGAGTCACTGTGGTTGCAGATGTGCCAGGGGTTGAACACGTCCATGAACGCATATGGCCCTAGGACGTCTGCTCAAGATCTTGCGAGACATGTGAGTATATCTGCGCTCACCGTAATCAATTGTGAGCCCCATGATCGAGACACTGTTCAGGCTCTCAGTGCCATGGTGTGTGAGGGTGCATGAAACCGCACGCACTTGTCGGTGTTGATCACCCCGTGCATGAACCCATACACCTGCCAGCCCGCAACCATCCTCGCGTTCCTCCTTGCGACCTCCAACACCAACTTCGTGCCCCACGCGTCCCCAAGCCCGTCCTCTCCCGCCGCTTCGCGCCACTTGACGTCCGGAAGGCTCAGCACGCGGCGCGCGACCCATTCGCCGAGGACACGGAGCGCTTCAAGGTGCGCCGCCTGCTGCCCGCCGCCGAGGAAGAAGATCTGCGCGGGTGGATTGAGTGCCTCGAAGGAGCCGATGCGGATGAACGAGGGCGCGACGCGCGTGAGGATGCACGCGGACTCGACGCGCTCGCGTTCGACCGGGAGCTTCGGGAGGTGTATGAGCGCGAGCGAGCGCGTTGTTGGTATTCCCAGTGCGTGCATCGCTGAGGCGTGATCGATCGTGAGCGACGGCGCGCGGAACAGAGTTAGCCAGGACATGGACTGCGAACGCACCTTCGGAGCAGAGGAACTCGCGGATGGACGAGCGGAGCACGGCCAATCCGTCTGCCATCCGCGAGAACGGCGTGCGCCCCGCGCCCTTGAGCTGCAGCTCGTATGAAAGGCCAGGCTCGCTCGGATGAGGCGTGCTCACTGTAGAACGCATTTGTGAGATGGGAACGAGGTTCATGTGTGCCCAGCCACTCACGAAGAGAGATGGCCCGCCCGTCGCCCAGCTGCCCCGCGAATGTGCCAAACTGGTGCCCGCTATATCGCAACGACCACGGAGCCCATTGCGTCTTCGCGTCCTCGCCCGCGCCGTTCATGAGCATTGCGTGGCCGCTCAGGACGTCTATGAGCTCCTCCCGCGCCGCGACCGCAGCTTCGCTCGGCTCCACCCTCCCAGTCGTGCTGTCCACCGCGAGACCGTTCGGAGCCGCATCCTGGCCAGGCGACACAGAGAGCGACGGCGCCCCGAGCAGTTCGAAGGCATCCCCGACATCCAGGTGCGGCACGCAATCCTGCAGCCCCGTCTCCGTCAGACCGATGAGCACCCGCTCTTCGTCCCGCTTCTCGGCGACGTACTTGCTCAAGCGCGGCCCTTCTCCCGCCCCCGTCTCCGAGCCTCCTCTTCCTGCAGAAGTCGACGCCCGGGCAGCAACGGGTGCCTCACGCAGCGCTTCCCGCTCGACCATCCACTGCTCGACCGCCCTGACCTGAGCCTCCCCGTCTTCGTCGTCCGGGTACTCCACGCGGTACGGGAACGAGAGTGGGCAGGGCGCGACGTACGAGAAGTGCGCTTGGGGCGCGAGGAGCCGCGCACGACGCTGCAGGCTGGGTTTCTCCGCGCGGGTGTCGCGCCATGCTGCGGGTGTCGGGGTGAGTGGGTCCGGGGTGAGTGCATGAATGAGCGAGTGTGTGGACGGGGTGAGGGGAAGCGCTGAAATCGGGACGCGCTTGACTATAGTGGTCTGCGCCGCGGTAGCATTGTTCATCGCTGTGGACATTGTTCGTATATTTTGGAGGGTCCGGGCTGCATGCATGCGATGGGTAGAAGGGGAAAGGGACTCTGGCGAGAGTCAGTCAGCGGATGAGGTTCTTCTCACCGTCCCGTCTCGGTCACGGAGTAGCTCCGTCATCTGGATCATGCATGTGGTAATCTTGTCCCGTGCATGCACCACGACCCATATT